GATTAAAGTCAGAAGACCTAGAGAGGGACCATCGGCATAAAAATGCCTTAATAATGTAGAATGCGATGTTTACAGCATCCTCTTTCCTATTATAGCTCTGCTGGTGACTAAGCCTTGCCTGGTGCATTGACCTTGGCTGGCTGCCACCTGACAGTGCCCAGCCAGACACTCTCTCACTCCCCCTCCTCAGCACAACAGGGGGAGAAAATATGATGGAAAAGTTCATGGGTCAAGATAAGAACAGGAAGATCACTGGTCAGTGTCATGGGCAAAGCAGACTTGACTTGGGGACGTTAATTTCTTTTATTAGCAATTAATAACAGAGTAGGATAATGACAAATAAACAAAATTGAAAACACCTTTGCTCTCACTCCTTCTTCTTCACAATGTGCCTCATATTCCCCAGCGCCAGGAGTGCAGTGGGATGGGGAATGGGGTTTGGGGGTCAGTTCATACCTCTTCACCTCCACCACTCCTCCTTCACACAGTTCCTCTGTTCCAGCAAGTTCCTTACCATGGGATAGAGTCCTTCATGAACTGCTCCAGTGTGGGTCCTTTCCATGGGATGCAGTCCTTCAGGAACAGACTGCTTCAGTGTGATTTCTGCCAGAAAACCCATTCCTGCATGGATCCCTCTCCAGGGTCACAGCTCCTGCCAGAAGTGTGCTCCAGGATGGGATCCCCACAAGCTGCAGGTGGAAATCTGCTGCTCCATGGACCCCCATGGGCTGCTGGGGCACAGCTGCCTCACCATGGCCTCACCAGAAGCTGCAAGGGAATCCCAGCTTTGGTACCTGGAGCACCTCCTGCCCTCCTTCTCCACTGACCTTGGTGTCTGCAGGGCTCTTCCTCTCACATTTTTCTCACTCCTCTTCCTCACGGGTGCTGCAGAGTGTATTAAATATTCAGAAAAGTTTATTCACTGAGATGCTGGTCAGGCATTTAACAGGCTGCCCAGGGAGCTGGTAAAATCACCATCCTTGGATGTATTCAAAAACATGTAAATCTGTCACAGAGGAGCACAGTTTAGTTGTGACCACCATGGTGCTGGGTTAATGGTTGGAGTTGATGATCTCAGAAGATATTTCCAACCTTAACAATTCTATGATTCTGTTAGACAGATGTCAGCCAAGAACAAATAAAAATGCTGCATATAATGCATTTGGATTTGGTAAGTGAGCTTAGATTCACAGAAGTCTAAGAACAGAAGATTTTTCTCATCAAGAGTGATTAATTTCCTATTATGCATTGGGACAAAAAAATGAAGGAGACCTGGAGTAAGTATGTCCCTATGGAGAAGTTCAGTGAAAAGCACTAAAAAATTCCAAAACAAGTCACTATTTGAAACCTCTCGTTACACACATACAAAAGACAACAAAAGAATGAAGAATAAAATTGTACTTGATGCCAGAAAGAGAAAGACATAAAACTAGGTAATAAAATACTTGGAGAACATAAAAATCGATAAGCTGAGAAACCTAGTGCATGAAAAGATTGGGGAGGAAAAAGAGAAAAGAAGGTACTTGCTTAAAGAAGCATCATTAAGGGCAAAATACAGCAGGACAGAGAAGTGATAGGAAACGTAGAAAAAGTCCCACTTGGTTAATTCCTGAGCTCTTCACTGCCTCCAGCACATGACAGGTGTATACAGACTGTGGACACAAAATCAAGGAACTGACAAGTTATCATTAACAGCAAAGACTTCACAAAGTCAGAAAGAGTAGGTCACAAAGACATCACAGGTGTTACAGTTACCAGAAAAGAACCAAGGAAAGCATTATTTTCTCATCAGAGAGTAAAAGTTGTGACAATTGATGCCAGGAAGGTTAGACAAAACTTATAGCTGCAACTTCAAATTTAGGAAAATCGAGCTCTTCACTGAACTGGCAAATACCCTTTGGACATCTGCTCCATTTCCAAAATCTGCAGAAAAATTGTTTACCTTCTTCATTTCAATCCTGGTGTTGAAATTTGTGATTTTAAACAAATATTGTTCATAATCTGAAGTCACATTCTAATTTATGAGGCTCAAAACATAATGCTTTGTCACCATTTTTTTCCATATTCAGTGAAGAGAAAGAGGCATCACAACACCTGCTATTTCCAGAAGACAAATTGTTCATAGATTAATCAGAAAGCAGACATCATCATTATTACAAAGAGTGTCCTATGAACAATGTGAGTGAAAATCCACACAATAAACAGGAGCATTTTCATCTATAATCACATCTGGTGCTAAAAAGCTCAAGTGACATTCGGTCAACTGTGCATTTGACTAAATAGTCGATCTGAAACAGCAGTGTCACGCTCCCAGGCTTTTTTAAAACTTTTTTTCTTGTGACAATGTGCAAATAGTTGACTCCAATTCCCATCACTTTTTAGTAGCTCTCTCACAATGATTATTCAACAAACAGTCAGCATTTTCCTACACGTTTTGGCAGTCTAAAATACCTGCCTTGATTAAATTTTCTTTCAGTGCAAATAAAAAGAGTAGAGGGTCACCAAAAATGTACTCATAATTAAGAGGGGGAAAAATAATGATAAATATACTCATAAAAACATTTCAAGTTGCTTATTTTTGGGACCAAATTGTTATAAGACACCAAACACACATTTTGAGCTGTTCTTTGAGTTACACCAAGCTGCCTATCCCATACATAAGCAGCATAACAGAAAATATCTAAGTGATTTATTTCTCATTCTCAAGTACTCAACAGACCAGCTCATCAGCCCAAGAAGCATGGCACACATGGCTCTGGTCATGGCAGGCAGAGAGGAAGCCATCAAAACCCACACCAGGAGCTTCACATGTAACAAAACCCTGCCCTTTACCAGACATAACCAACAGTGAAAGTACCTATAAAGGCTTTACTGATGTCCCAGCCTTTCTTACAAGCACCCTCATAGCCACATTATTCTCTTTGGCCTGATAACTTCTATTAATCATACACAACAAGCCTAAAAAGCATAAGGGCCAATTTTATTCCAGGATAGCCCATGCCATTGTCAGAGCACCTCGTTTCAGCACTAAGTCTGCTCAGAATTTCTACGTTAACAAAAGTGCTGACACATTGCAGGTGACTGGGCCAATTCCACCAAATGCAAATTAAAGGTGAAAATAAAGATATGAGAGTGAAAACCATAGTTTTCAGCCAGGACAAATTATCACAGATAGCTTCAGAGAGCTTTCTCCCCACACACCATCATCTCCCTGTCTAGGTTCTATCTTTTCTGTCTCTATGAGATCTCACCCTTCAACATCTCACTTGGGCCAAAGGAATTAAGGAAAAATTACATTACACCCTAATGATCACAGCACACATGCACTGTGATTCCCAGAACCAGGCTGCTCCACAGCCTCTCTTAATTTTAACAGCCCTGTCATCCTTGGGTGTGGCTGCAATGATCCAGCTTCTGAAAAAGGCACAGATTGCTGTAGCTGTCCACAAAAACAATCCATGCTCATTTACCACACTGAGAAAACACCAGGTTTAAACCTGACTGGGCAGTTCCTTAAGCAAGAAGAGATCTTCCCTCTATTTCAGAAGCTTCAAGTCACAAATGACCCCTCGACAGCACCTTGGATTGAGGCACTGCTGTGAATTTCACTGGAGCTACAAGACACTTTTCCTATCTAGCATCATTTCAAACCTATTTGCACTACTTCCAAGTTGTCACTTATTTCTCCCAGAGGTTTTAGACATGAAAAGGGCCTCTCCCTTCCTACAGAAGGCATGATAATGCTGCACACCAGAGTGAGATCAACCCATCACTGACATTCAACACCACAGGAAAGGCTTCACTTGTCCACCAAGCCTGGAAACCAGCATGGCCTCTGTAGGTTCCTTTTCCTTAAGGCAGAGAGTCATTCTTCATGCCTTTCTGAATAAAATGAAAGGCTGGAGTGATGTCAGCTGACATCCACGTCTATTTAGAAGTGATAAAGTGCAAGGCACTGGGAGATGCTCATGCCTAAGAATGCATATGGAGCAGAGATGACCCTGCAGAAACAAATGGGAAAAGGCTCTTCAAAACATACATTTCAGTTTAGTTACTGCTGCATTAGTGTTTAGAAGCTCTGACAGACCTGACCAATGAAAACTGAAATATACAACCACTCTGTGGAGTTTTTTTTTAGCTTGGGGACATAAGATGAGAAGAAATAAATGGTGCGGTTAGGGTTGTCTTTTTTCCTTTGTTTTAAACAAGCACACCACCTGCACTTTATACAACTTAACACTTCTGTTCTCAGTAAAACCATGATGTGATCTCAGCTTCTCAGAAAGTGGTTAAAAAACATTTTCCCAAATAACCACAAAAATCCTTCCAGTAAATATTTGCATGTTTACATTAAAGAGTGTCCAAAAATTGTCCATTGCTGTTTCTTATTTCCATATCCAGTATAATATCAAATTGGTTTTATTTTCCATCAATTATCAATGCAAACAGAAAGATTAATTGAAAAAGAAATATGTTAAAAATACAAAGATGTCAAATACGAGATCATCATCTGTCATTGCAACCAGAAAACAAAACAAAACAACCAAAATTCCTAAAACTCTCTTATTTCTGCATTTCTGTCAGATACATTGCTTTGACCTTTGTGTTTTGAGGTCTCCCATGCCACTTTCAAGTTTCCAACACAGAACTTTACAGAGAATCCAGTTGTCAAAATTGAAAGAAAAGTGCTACATTTTCTCCAGCAGTCTTTTACTCTGGCACAGAAATATGTCCATTATTGTTTTGAGGAAAGTCAGCACATACATCAGAGTCCATTTTCTAACAAAATTAAGGTATTTCCCTGATTCAATCTTTAAAATTTCCAACTTTCTCTAGAGCTGTACTGATATTTAGAGAAAGAGAAAAAAACTTACTTAAACAAGCCTTTCTACCCCACCATCGTCAGGTCAGGAAAGACAAAGGCTTTTGGGGGTAAGGTCTGAGGCTTAAGAGTTGAAGTACAAGTTTGAGGAGCTGAGTATCATTAACAGCTGAGCTGGCTACTTGTGCCTACACTCTTCTAAGTATAGATAAATAGATCTTGGTTTGTAATTCACATAGATGCTCTCTGGAAAGTCAGGAGGCTCGACTGCTGCTCTTGTTGCATGTGAAGGTGGGAACTTCGAGGCTCTAGTCTGCAACAGGAAGAAAAACATGTACCATTTATTACATTGTAGAATACTGTGGGACTGTCATTCCTATAGATCCCAAACTAAAAGCAAAGAGCAGAAGAGACCTGGTAGGTAACACTATTGCTGCAAAAGAAATGTGATTTCTCTGAGCTCTCTGAGCCAAAGGGTAGAGCACAGAGGGTGAAACATGAACTGGCAGACAAATGCAAGAACAGCCTTCACAAAGCCTCAACAGGACAGCCTCTGACATTGTTTTCTTAATATTGGTTTTTTCTTAATATTGTCTTTTCAGAAACAAATTTTGAAATGTTGGTATCTACAGCAAAATAGATGAAAATGAACAATGATAGCTTCTCTGAAAACAAAACAGACAGACCACAAACAATCCAATTTAGGCACCTAAAATCACTGGAAGCCTTTGATCTCTGCAACTCCCCCTCTCATCAATGAAATTGTCCTGAATGCCACACAAGAACATATCAGGAAATGAATCATTTTAACTTCAGAGCACTCTGACTGGTTTGCAACCAACAGGGCACACGACCATTAATTAAATCATGAGCAGAAAACAAAATAGGAAATAATTGGTCTTTCCATGTGCATTAAGTGAGGCAGAAGCCCTGAGGAAAAGCAGCACATTTTCATTTTGTTAAATATATACCACAACACACTGGAATTAGAGAGTGAGTAAAAGTTGTGGTGGCAGATTTATCCCTGGTGTATCCTGGCTTACAAGTATATGAACTGCCACATAAAAATAAAAGTTTCATAGCTGTGTTTGTCTCCAATATAGCGAAACAAAGTGGACCTTTTTCCCCTCATTGTAAAAGGCATGTCTACTTCCATCCAATCTTTAATCAGGCAGGCTTCTGCCATTAAGAATACACATTCTTAAATAAAACATCTGAGTAAAGACTACTCTGTGAAGCAGAAATATGAAAATATTATGTTTTGGGAGAGTTAAAAGTGAGCACTGTAAATGTGACTTATAGACAGGAAATGCACCACACCCCTCTATATCCAGTGCTTAAACACTGCTCAAATTAAAATTAAAATTGCTCAAATACTCTGATTATACATAAAGCTAGGGCCATCCAAACAACAGACATTCTCACAGATGATGTGTTCCTCATCCCCCCCTCCAAGTGCTCCCAGAGGTGCATGGGAGGTTTGTCAGAGCAGACACATTGCAAAGAAATTCCAAGTTTTAGTGAAGAAAACACCAAAACCTGCAAAGCACACACACACAAATCCCACTTACTGTAAAGTGTTCTGCTGGGCCCTGTGCCCGTCCACGTAACCAGCAAGCTGAAAGTAGGATGTCAGGAAGTTAGAGTGGTTTGATGGTGCAGGGCACACAGCTGGTATAGCTGGGGTTCTCCTCTAGCTACCCCCAGCTCTTGAAAGACTTTCTTCAAAATACAGTTACCCTCACATGTTAAGTTTTTGGGGTTTTCTACATCCTGCACTTTGACACGCTCTTGTTTTATTTTTCCCTTCATTGAAACTTTTGGTCATGCTGGGTGCCCTGGTTTCTACTGGGGTAGAGTTGATTTTCTTCTTAGTAGCTGTGGTTTGTATTTAGTATGAGAAATTAAACAAATTAGCTATCTAATATGCTCAATACACAATTATCTGAAAGATATCAAACTATTTGGCCTATTCTTACACTTGCTCAAGGGAAAAATTATCACTGCTCATGGAAACAAAGATAGTTTGTGTTTAGTCATTAGTTTATGAACTGTCATTATTAAGTACAGAATTCTGTGCTGTTAAATGCAGAACAAACAAAATAATTCTAAAAACTCAAAGCCTGCCCTATTCTCAGAGAGAACCCTTTTCATCCTGAATGAATCTCTGACATGTCTGTAATGCATTAATACCACAATACCTGTGGCTCTTTCAAAACTCCAGACATATTTTAAATTGCTACCCCTTATTTTATTATGACTTCTCCAAAAGGACAGTGCATATATGAACATTTTCCTCAACCCTTGCCTCCCACCTCAGTCTCAGCAATAAAGTACATGTCCTTGTACCTGCACATGGTCAGCAATGGGATTGCAGTATATTTCAGATTCAAAAGACTCACCTCTGCATATGAATGTCAAGCATAAAGTCAGACCAGTGACAGCAATGGCACCTGCAGCTGCTCCTGTCAGGATGTAGAGAAGCGTAGGGGAGGTGTCTGAGCAATGAGAAAAGAGAGCAAGTTACAAGAGAGCTAGATGTCAGTACTTGTGACATAACTGCCTACCTTATCTGCAAGAAAAAGCTAATCCTCTGCTTCCAAACAAAGCAGAGAGAAACAGATGAGATGTCTGGATGCCGACCAGCAATAAGAAGCTGCCTCACACTCCCAGTCATTTGTGTGCACAAACACATTTTCATTTTCAACTCATCTGCCTTTACATTCTCATTTTCTTCAAGTACTGCTAGCCCTTTACAACTGAGCAGCCATCCCTGCAAAATGCTTTTATTAATGACTAGTTTATGCTGATTTCTGTTCTTCATGCCTTTACTAGTAGAGATACTTTGGTGGTGTGAGCACATCTTTAGCTGTTCTTACAAATCCTACTGCGATAGACTTCCAACAGGTCCAGCACAGCCACGGAAGCTGAATTTTAGCCTTTACTACCTTTGGAACACTTGCCAGTCACAGACAGACAGGCTCCAAGGAAATTTTCTCCGGACCATCACTACTGTGGAAAAGCTGGACAAAATGTCGTGGGGAAGGCGCTTTTCGATTCTCTTTTTTCTCGCTATCCTCTTCTGATTTGAGTGGCAAGAAATTACTTTCTCTCAAGTCCCTTTTGCCTGTGACAGCAATTGGTGAATGATCTCTCCCTGTGTTCACTTTGACCCACGAGCTGGCCATTGTATTTTTCTCCCTGTCTTGTTGAAGAGGAGGGAGCAATAGAGCAGCTTGGAGAGCACCTGGCAGCCAGCCAAGGTGAACCCACTGAAAGCAGAATAAGGAATTCTTGTAAAACAGAACAGGAATTTTGAAAGAAAAACACACTGAAAGCTTCTCCATAGAGTACCACAAAGCATTTGGTTTCAAAATCATTAATTTATCTCTCAACATGCACTGGGACTTATAACCACGCTAACCTAGCTCCAGAGCCCTGGCATTTAGTGGGAACAGCTGCACAGAACAGCAGAGAGGAGCCCAAGACATGATGAAAAGCAATCACAAAACAACATTATTTACATCTCAGGTCCATGACCAGAGTCTGGTTCATGGCTGCGTGGGTGACCAGGCAGGTGACAGAGGGAAATGAGCTGTTGGCCCAGCCAAAGTAGCTCACTCTGGTCACTGTTCCACTGGGGTGATGGAATTCTTCCTCAGAGCTGTGATTGCTTGCAGGGATCCAGGAGATGTCAGCAGCTGGCTTTCCTGCAGATGCCTGGCACACAGCCACCCTGCTCTTGTCATGGGTCAGAGTAACCGTAGGAGGGACTGCAGAAGAAATTTTGAAAAGACACAACCATTATTTCTATTCCAATTTTTTATTTCTATTTCATTTTTTAGTATAAAATCACCAGCTGAGAAACTGAAAAACAGGTGGGTTTTTTTTTAGATTGTATGACCAATTTGTGAGATTTTAAAATAATTTGAAATATTAGCACATCTTAAAGGAAAAACAATACATCAAAAGGTCCAAGGTGGACACTTCAAAAACTAGCTGTCTGCATCTAAAGTACTGCTTCCTCCTGTTTGCCAAAAGGTGATGACAGATTAACAGGAGATGGGATGACAGAGAGGGGTGGATTCAATAAAGATTTACAACTTGACTGATGCAAAGGCAGATTGCTGAAGCTTCAGGTACAATATTTAGGAGTTTGGATATATGGAATCAAAAATCTGATAGCAGGGAAATAAAAGAGGAATTGGGCAAAACTGTTGAAGTCCAACAACTCATATTCTGCATTTGGCAAAACAGGGAAAGACTCACACAACACCTAAACATTTATCAGAAAGGCACAATTCTGCAGGAAAGAACCAAAAATACTCCAAAACCCAAATCCAAAACAAATTAATGACAAAAAAAAATAGCAATTATAGAGTTGCAAAATTAATTTCTTTTAATTTTTAGTTATATTGAGATGGCTTAACTAATATAGCCAGAACCAAAAATCTCTCCCTTTTTTTTATGGAAACCTAGATATAGTTTACCTCACTATATGAAAAAAAAAAAAAAAGATGATTTGATGTATTCATTATGCTTCCTAATATTCTTTTGTTCCTGCCTATGTTGCAAATAGACTAATTTAATTTTTACTTTAGTGATGCAGTCTTACCTATCACAGTCAGAGAAGAGACAAACTGAAAATTCCCTTCAGTGTTGGCAAGTTCACAGGTGTAAATTCCCTCATCCCTGAGGTGCACAGGGTAAATACGGAGTGCAGGGTCACTGCCAGGTGAATATTTCAACGTGATACTCTTACTGCAGTTCAGACTGCTTGTCTTATTGTGATCCTTTCTATAGGATAAAAAGCAGCAACTTGTGCAATTCCTCTTCCACATCACCAGCAGTGAAGGCACCTTGAAGATTTTGGGGCAACTCAGCACCGCTTCCGAGCCAGCCTCCACAGTCACCCTGTTGTGAGCTTCATAAGATGACAAAAAGACATTAAAAATATGCTACAACCATTGTGAAAGCACAGGAAACTCTTGGCTCCATCACCCTTAAAAATATACTTCCTGACTGTACTGGCAGCTTTGGGGCACTTATTAGTATTCAACTTCCAGATCCACCTTCCTGAAGTTTGGAAGTGCAGTGGAGATGGTGCCTTTTTGCTGTGCACAGTGATGCTGACAAGCTGCAAGTCCTCTGCCTTTATTTTAGGCAATAAATTTCTATCACTTTAATATAGGGTTTGAAAAATTGATGGGGAGGGCAAAATTCATTCTTAAGGGAAAGGAAACTACTTTCAAATATTTATTGTGCTCCTGAATTAGATGGCCTGCTTGAAGTGCCAGTAAAACTCAGTATAGCTGTGGAACACACACCTGTGGCACGGTCAGACCAACATCCCTTGGAGCAGAAGTTTAGTAAGAGACATATGTGGATCCCTTTTATGACAGAAATCATCGCTCTCCTGCCATTTTCCCAGCTGAACAGGTGTATCTTTAGATGAGCAGTTTTGGATTCCTGTCAGATTTTTCATTTTCTGCCACTCTGCAAGGCACTCAATTAATTTGCCAGCCAAGGTGACATTACTCTTTCCATTCCCACAAAACAATAGGCAAAATTTGCTCGGGTGCACTATGAACTTTCAATGTCCTGGCAAGTTGGAAATACAGAGTATCAAACAGTGCTACATGCAGTTTTGGATCTTTCTCACTTACCTTCAACCAGATTGATTGGCAAGAAAAGGAGCACAGCCAGAACTGCCCATTTCTGAGCCATCTTTAGCAGAAGGAATCAGCACTGCAGAAAATGAAGGCAAAGAAAACGGCATGTAGTCACAAATGGTTGTGCTCATCCCTTCAAAGAGAACATGTAGAAAACCCATTTCCTTTGAAAGCAGGAGTTCTAAACAAGACCCCATATCAAGTGCCACTCATACAGTGAAGAAGTACAGCAAAAACAGGGTTGAAAATAAAAAAAATTAAAAATAAAATAAAGACAAAAATAACCCCAAAAACAAACCAAACCAACAAAAAACAAGCTACAGTTTGCAAACAGTTTTTTAAAATCCTGGATCTCTGGTACCACTCAGGATCTAGACTTCATCAACTATTTGGCAAAGAAATTATTCCTAGCTTTTGGATGCTTTTAATTTCTTGAAGAGTAACTCCCTTTAGGAGCAGAACAAAAAGAGCAGCCCTCCTATTGCAAGGGATCAAAACTGTATGAGTTTGTTTCTTGCTTTCATAGGCAGGGTGAACTAAAGAGGCATCTAGTAACTCCTGCTATTCTACAACTATCTAAACCTTTTAACAAACCATGTCTTATAAATGCTGCCATTTCTATCTCTTTAATATTTTACTTTCTGAATCAGGCACCCACAGCTAGACATGATTGGAAAATTCTGTTCCCATCCCACGGGAAATACTGACATGATGATGTTTTCATTCCCAAGTCAAAGATTTCATTTTAAATGTGAAACAAACCACGAGAGGATGCCTGGTGTAGAGGAGAGAAGCCACAACGCTGCCACACGTGAGGCACAAGAAGAACAAAAGCTGCCACAGGCACGAGCCAAATGCAAGAGATGGTGTTTGCCTTAACAGGGTGGTACAAGTGCATGTTCAAGTCACTGAATCACAGAATGGTTTGGGTTGGGAGGGACCTTAAAGATCTTCCAGTTCCAAACCCCTGCCATGGACACTTCCACCAGACCAGGTTGCTCAGAGCTCCATCCAGCCTGACCCTGAACACTTCCAGGGATGAGGCATCCACAGCTTCTCTGTTCCAGTGCCTCACCACCCTCAATAGAATTGTTTTCCTCAAAGAATTGTTTTGCTCACAACCCTAACAAAGAATTGTCATGCATCTGGATGAAAATCTTTCGTTTCCACCTGGTAAAAACGCCAACACAACCACATTGATCTATATTCTGCTGCTAATGTGTAACAAGCAATGTAATTCTACATTAAAAACATCTCAAATTTCACTTTCATTCACATAAAATCTCTGCCATAAAGGAAATGTTTTATTTTGTTGCATTTTATTCAGCACTGTCAGAAGTTTTGGGATTTTTTTTTTCTTTGCAATTTGGATGCATTATGCGTGCAAAAGTTACTTTCAATCAAAACAGTTTGAATCTTTAAAAACTGATTTTTTTTAACCAAAAAAATTTAAAATATACATTTTGACCAGACTTATGTACTGAACTTGACCTAATTTGCAAAGAATTTCTCAGTCTCTTTCAAAAGGAAAGTAAAAGAAAAAACAACAGACCTTCCACAATTTCTATCAGCAAATTCAGTATTCACCAATTTTGATGAGTCCATAAATATTCATAACAGAATATTTTCATATTGGAACTTGTCCCAGAGAAGTATCTTTTTTTTAAATGCATTGAAATCTCATATATGCGGTTTATTTGCTCAAAAGAACAGGCATTAATGATTAAAAATGGGACCTTACAGAAAGGAGAGAGTATATGACTCTCTTTAAATATTCATGGGTGAAACACAGAATTTAATCTCCAATTTTTAAAATTCACAGCCCTTGAACAGTTGTGCCTCTGAGCGAGAAGGAACTCTCAAAATCCATAAAGGAACAACCAAGCAGAGATGAATCAAACCCATTTAAAAGTAGCAAACGAATACTTGGTGGCTCGCCTTGTGTTATTGCCTTTGATGGAATTAAAATGCCTCAACAGCTGCATTAAAATAAATTAAATTTTTTACTCAGCCTCGGTGGCGGTGGCTGGCACAAGACCTTGCGATACGTGTGCCGCTCTTCCTGCTCGGATTCATCCCAAGGAGAGCTGAGCCTGGGGGAGATCCACTCCCTTTAGGGGCTCAAGAGGAGCCCTCCTCACCCCAGAGCCTGGAGGGGAGCAGCAGCAGCTCCAGCGTGACCTGGTCTTCCAAATCTCCTCCTGAAGGGGATCCCAGTCCTGAGGGCTGATTCCAAGGCAGCTCCTGCGCACCAGGGAACTGCAGGGATGTACCTGGAGCTCCCCTCCCTCTCTGTCCCCACCAAGGGCCCAGATATAAGTGCAAAGTGGGAACTATCTCAGTTTAGGAGATTCCATCCCTGCGTTCAGCTGTATGGCTCATTAGTTTCTTTTTGTTGTTGCTTCTGAGACCTTAACATGCAGCTGATTTTTCTTACAGACAGATAAAGCCTCCACCCCCTCCCCCCTTGAAAGAGATGAGTCAAAAAAACCCTCTGGTGGTACATTGCCCTGAAGAGGATGTGGCAGAGTTAAATTGAGAGAAACAAACTGCTTTGTGACATGGAAAACAAGTCACAACCTTAGCTGTCTGTTGTTACACATCACACACCAGCCACAAGCCTTGAGCTATGCAAAGCATCAACCTAAAATCAGGCAAGTACATGCAATGTCCAATATGATTTAAATATTTGCTAACACAACCTGAAAAAGGAAAAGGTCAGGTATCTATCAGTGCATCAGTTGCCACTGCAACTTTTTAAAGGATAACCCGTCTGTCACAGAGCCATTCCTGTGTTTACCTCAGCAAAATATGGTTCTGTTTTGAAGTGAAAGCACATTTTAAAGGGTACAAAAGACTATCTTAGAAGGCTCTCTGTTCTGTGTAAGATGGGAAAGGAAGGGCTGGAAGGGATGGCAAGAAGAGAAAGCAGTGGCACACATCTGTATCAACTCTCTTATAAGTATAAGGTAACTGCTCTGCAAATCAAGGCTGCATTATTTAAAATCCAAATCCACAATTTTGGCAGTCAGAGTAGCAGCAGCATCTTCTATGCAGTATTTGATGTTTCTACCTCATCACCAAGACCACACAGCACCCAACTCAAAAGCCTGCAGCTTTTCTGAAGTGAGAGATGCTGGTTATGCTGTATTTTCAACATCCCCAGGTCAGCCTCTTCTGCTCCCATTTCTCCCTACCAATGGTTCCTCTGCTGGGAATTCCTCAGGTCCCTCCACTGAAAATGAAACAACAAAATATAGCAAGACTTTGAATGCCCTCTGGGGAAGACAAAACATATCCAAAGGGGCAGCAGGTAGATACTCCCAAAGCTGAAACTGGAAAGCTCTGTGGGGAGAGGAGAGGCTGTGCTCTTTCTCTGTTCTCAGCCATCTGTGGCTGGCCCCTGACAGTGCTGCTGGGTAATGGACCTCTGCCTTGACCTCAGAGCCTCCTGGTATTTTTATTCTCTTTAAGATATCCTGACCCTGAAAACTGCCCTCTGTACTCCTGTACTAGCACAGCAGAACACTGTTAGCTCTGCCAGGGACTGATGGATCAGAGCCTCCATGGTGCATTTTCTTCTCAGACTCCCTGTTTGTCTCACAATTGCTGGCATCAGTTGAAGCCAGAGATGATTTGAAATTTAGTCCATCCAGTTTGTGAGCTAGTTTCATTCACTTCCAAACTACAAAGCTTTCTCTGCAAAATGGGAAATAGAGGGTGGATGGCTTTCTGAAAGAGAGAATTAGCCTAATAGAATCAGCTCTCAAAACAATCACAAGCAAGTTATACAAAACAACTGTAAAATTACAGTGTTTAGGTAAATATACCTAAAGGTAAATAGTTTTGAAATTTCCTCCACAGCAAGACAGATTTGTGCCATCTATTGAATTCATCAAGATAGCAGTATTTAGAGTAATACTAACATTACAAAGTGTGGATTTTTCCCCAGGGGAAAAAAATTTGTCATACATAGTAGCTGTAAATGCAGGAAGCAGTTGGGCATCTCCCCTCTTCTCAGATGTATTTCCCTTTTTATCACTAGCTCATCTGGAAAATGGTTTAGTCCCATGAAGTCATAGCACAAGCCAAGGCATATTCCTCACACCTGCAGCTGCCTTGCAGCCAGTCCTTCAGGGAGTAATCCAGTGTTGGGAAGGGGCAAAAGGAGCAAAGGATGAATGTGAACACCACCACCCCTGGTAGCTCATTCTCTTCCTTCCAGAAAGAGACAAGACAATTGCTTTACATTTTCCATTTTATGCAGGAAAAAAAAAAACAAAAAAAAACAAAAAAAAACAAAACAGTTCTTGTACCTAACACCTTGACTTTCCCAGGTATAAACCATCTGTGGCTCTCACCAATGTCAGCAAACAGATGGGGAAAAGCCCTGCTGGTAATGCAGCCTGTAAAACCTGACACTTCCATGTTAAAATATCCAGAGGCAATTATATCACAATTTGCAGAGATCAAGGAAATGTATTTCTTTTTTAGCTGTAGCTGATTGCACTGGGCCAGCAGGGCCATGCTCAGCAACTTCTACTCCTGGCCCTAGAGAATCCCCTTATCACTTGTAGGTCTTTAACCTCAGGAGCTTCTCTCTTGATGCCAGTACTGCAGCAGACAAATCTACCTACCACATATATGTTCTTGATCTTAACTGCTTTAACTCCTGCCCCTTGTGGGCCTACTGCTTTTTGCTGCTGATTTCCCAGAAAAAAAACCTGGAAATTAGCAACCCACAAGTGTAATTACTGCTGTCAGGGCTGTGCATAACCAGAGGAAAAGTCTTCCATACAAGTATACAGAGATGAACAGAGAGGACAAGTATACAGAGATGGTTTATAGCTTGATGTTTAACTCCTTTAGTAAGCATCAGGATGTATCTCAGGCTCCCCAGAGGAAGGTTTCCTCCCCATCTTTCATTCAGAGGTACCAGCCTCCCACTCCACAGCCAAACATGGAGTTTGGAATGATGATGGAATTGCACCACACATCCCGAACTGCACATAAAGAAGCTAAAAACCTCAAGTAATTCCTGCTTTAGAAAGAACA